AGGACCTGAATGTGAGACAGGAAACCATCAAAACCCTAGAGGAGAAAGGAGGAAAAAACCTCTCTGACCTCAGCCACAGCAATTTCTTACTTGACACACCTCCACAGGCAAGGGAATTAAAAGCAAAAATGAACTATTGGGACCTCATGAAGATAAAAAGCTTCTACACTGCAAAGGAAACAATCAACAAAACTAAAAGGCAACTGACGGAATGGGAAAAGATATTTGCAAATGACATATCGGATAAAGGGCTAGTATCCAAAATCTATAAAGAACTCATCAAACTCCACACCCCAAAAACAAATAATCCAGTGAAGAAATGGGCAGAAGACATGAATAGCCCCTTTTCCAAAGAAGACATCCAGAAGGCCAACAGGCACATGAAAAGATGCTCAATGTCACTCCTCATCAGGGCAATACAAGTCAAAACCACACTGAGATACCACCTCACGCCGGTCAGAGTGGCTAAAGTCAACAAATCAGGAGATTATAGATGCTGGCGAGGATGTGGAAAAACAGGAACCCCGTTGCACTGTTGGTGGGAATGCAAAGTGGTGCAGCCACTCTGGAAAACAGTGTGGACGTTCCTCAAGAAATTAAAAATAGACCTACCCTATGACCCAGCAATAGCACTGCTAGGAATTTACCCAAGGGATACAGGAGTGCTGATGCATAGGGGCACTGGTACCCCAATGTTTATAGCAGCACTTTCAACAATAACCAAATTATGCAAAGAGCCTAAATGTCCATCAACTGATGAATGGATAAAGAAGATGTGGTTTATATATACAATGGAATACTACTTGGCAATGAGAAAGAATGAAATGTAGCCATTTGTCGCAACGTGGATGGAACTGGAGAGTGTTATGCTAAGTGAAATAAGGCAGAGAAAGACAGATACCCTATGTTTTCATTCATATGTGGATCCTGAGAAACTTAACAGAAGACCATGGGGGAGGGGAATGGGGAAAAAAAAAAGAGAGGGAAGGAGGCAAACCATAAGAGATTTTTTAAAATGTTTTTATTTATTTAATGTTTTTATTTATTTAATGAGAGAGATTGACAAGTGTGAGCAGGGGAGGGACAGAGAGGGGAAGACACAGAATCTGAAGCAGGCTCCAGGCTCTGAGCTGTCAGCACAGAGCCCGACGTGGGGCTTGAACCCACGAACCGTGAGATCATGACCTGAGCCGAAGTCGGATGCTCAACCGACTCAGCCACCCAGATGCCCTAACCATAAGAGACTCTTAAATACTGAGAACAAACTGAGGGTTGATGGGGAGTGGAGGAGAGGGGAAAGTGGGTAATGGGCATTGAGTAGGGCACCTGTTGGGATGAGCACTGGGTGTTGTATGGAAACCAATTTGACAATAAATTACGTTTAAAAAAAATTAAATAACGAAAAAAGTTTTTAGAAGTTCAACTTGTACTGGAACTAGAAAAGCAAAGGAGCTATCCATATTTATGATATTAATTTTTTGCAGTGATTTAGCTCTATCATAATCCCTGGGTTTTTTTTCATTTCAGGGATATTATGATATAAACAATGAAGTGTTTTTAAGTTTGCCTTGCATCCTTGGATCCAGTGGAGTATCTGAAGTCATCCAAAGCACAGTGAAGGAAGATACAGCAACTGAGAAACTCCAAAGCAGTGCATCATCAATCCATGGTCTCCAACAACAGTTAAAACTTTGATCCTAAAGTACAGAGTTACCTGAAAGGAAAGGTCATTTAATTTTGCCAACACATACAGGGTTGAGAACTTCTGTATCTTATTAGCTACCCTTACAAACTGCTTGGTTAAGATAGACGGTTTCCAGTTAGCGCTGTAATTTGAATCCTTAGGGAGTTAGATAAGGAGGGGGAAGAAATCTAATTTTCTTTGTCATTCTTGAGATATCTAAACTGTTCTTTAAATCTATAGAAGATGTAGACATTCATCTACAATCTACAATATGCATCATTTAAATTTATGGATCCTCATCTAAAAGCACATTCAGCACTTTGGGAATATTTTGAAAGTAATACACTTTTAAAAGAAAATTACTCTTTATTACAATAAACATGATAAGCTGAAGGTCCAGTATTGGTTTACAGAATCTGTGCTGGTGTGCTTTCAAGAGATCCACAGCTTAAGGTATTGTTTCTTCTTTAAAATAAAATCGGTAGTAATAGGAAAGCATTTTGTTTTCCCTCTTTAAATTAATTAGCTAACCCTGGGTGTCTCAGTTGGTTAAGCCTCCAACTCTTGATTTCAGCTCAGGTCATGATCTCCCTATTCATGAGATCAAGCCCCACATCAGGCTCTGTGTTGATGGTGCAGAGCCTGCTTGGGATTCTCTCTCCCTCTCTCTCCCTGCCTCTCTCTCTCAAAGTAAATTTTAAAACCTTAAAAAAAATTAACTAGCTACTGAAAAGTAAAAAAAAGAATTTTATGTGCATTTTAAAATATTAAAAGGGAAGGTAAAATTTTTATTATTTGAAGAAAAAGCAATTTCCAGTGGGACTGTCCTTTTTGAAATTTTCTATAACCTCTTCTTGGGATATATAATAGATCTCTAACATCTCAAAAACCAACTATACTGCTAGTAGCATAGAGAAATGTGTATTTAAAAAAATTTTTTTTAAGTTTATTTACTTTTGAGAGAGAAAGACCGAGCATGAGCAGGGGAGGGGCAGAAAGAGGCAGACTCAGAATCCAAAGCAGGCTCCAGGCTCCAAGCTGTCAGCACAGAACCCTACGCAGGGCTCAAACTCACAAACTGTGAGATCATGACCTGAGCCGAAGTTGGACGCTTAACCAACTGAGCCACCAAGGCGCCCTGAGAAATATGTATTTTTAGTGGAAACAGATTATGAATAAACGCCAAGCAATTTAAGTTTAAAATATGAGGCTTTCCTGGGGCGCCTGGGTGGCGCAGTCGGTTAAGCGTCCGACTTCAGCCAGGTCACGATCTCGCGGTCCGTGGGTTCGAGCCCTGCATCAGGCTCTGGGCTGATGGCTCAGAGCCTGGAGCCTGTTTCCGATTCTGTGTCTCCCTCTCTCTCTGCTCCTCCCCCGTTCATGCTCTGTCTCTCTCTGTCCCAAAAATAAATAAACGTTCAAAAAAAAATTAAAAAAAAAAATATGAGGCTTTCCTGAAAACCATTAGTCGTAAGGGGAAGAGGATGGATGGATTGGCTATTCTGAGCAAATCCTTTAACCCCTCCTGAAGAAATGATTCAGAGCACATATGCCTTGGTGATGGGTCAGTAACTGTATCTTCGTATATGAAAGATAGCATATTATTACAGACGTAACACACAACTAATTAGTAACGACTAATACCCAACACATTTCAGGTAGTGTGATGAGCATTTTATTATTTTATTGAATCCTGAAAATAATCCACTGGGGTTGGTTTTATCATTTTATAGAGGAGAAAATTGAGGTTTAGTGCCCAAGGTGTCACAGCCAAGAGGCACTTAAACACATAGCCTCTACTTTTTCTAAGCACTAGAAGGAAAAGCCTAACAGCCAAAATAGTTACCACAAGACCATAAAGCTGGGGTTCTATACACTATAGAAGGATTACTTCTATTCTCATGTAGAGGCTGACTTCATTTTTATTCCAACAGAGTTTTTTGAAAGACTGATTCCCTGACTTCCCATACTTGCCCTCAGCAAATAGCAGAGAGGAGTATACGATGAAATAGGCGTTCATTTAATCATTTATATAGTATTGCCTGGAAGCCTACAATACACCAGGCACCATACTGGGCACTGCAAATATAGTGGTGAGCAAACCTGGACTAGGTACAAGCCCTCATGGTCCATACAATCTAGTATGGGAGACATTGTAATCAAATCTCACAAATAAATGTACAATTGCAAGCGTAATAAGTACTGTGAAGAAATTCCCAGTGCTTTGAAAGCATATAATAGGCAAATCCAAAGCTGGTCGAGAGATAGGAGCCCAGTAGGGCAGACACATCCTAGTTAAAAAGAATCAAACTAATTCTGATTTAGTATAGTAATGAATGCTTATAACGATGAGCTTGAATCATAAAGTGAAATTATACCCAGTGTCCCATGTTTAAGAATGTAGAAGAGTATTTAATATGTTTGGAAAGATTCCCACCAGAATTAACTGGGATATAAACCCTTGGATGTTTGAAGAGATAAGCATTAGTTCTGTGTAAGTTCACTACATGGGTAGATTATTTTGGTGTCGCTCTTAACAGTGTATTCTCACTATCCTTTCGCACAAAATAGGGAAGTAAGACTAAAAGAACCATTTGTTGTATTTTTTAAACTAGCCTTTTCTAATATCTGTGATCTATTTAGAAATTAGATAATTTCTACTATCTAATTTCTAATACCCTCTTGAACAACAACCTAACTGCAGGATACTGTGTAATAGATCAATTACCAGGAGTTCACCATGTTAATTGCAAATTAAGGTCAATGCAATGCAACAAACAATTACTGAGCATCTACTGTTATTCCAAATACTGTGTTAGAATTTGAGTACTCAAAGTTGAGTAATAGTCCTTGCCCGACAGAAGCCCACCTTATAGAAATAATTCTGTCAGTTATTTCCTTAAGTGTTGACTATTAGCAGTTGTGTTGTAGGTTTCATATGTAAGTCAAGAAACGGTACCACCACATTACTTCGCTATGATTTGGTGATAATTGCCAGTCACGGTTGTGATATTAACGTTCACTTCTTAATTTTTCCAAAGTCATGGAGTGTCTTCTTACGATTCTTAGTGGGGCTTGGATTAAAATGCTTCTTTGATTTTATAATGCAGAGGTTAATATTTTCCAGTTTACATTGTAGTTTTCCTCAAATATCAAGAACAATGAATAAAATAAACTTTGACTTTAAAATCACCCAAAGACGCCTAATTTATTGAGTGGAAGGAAATGTATGCAGATTGAGGAGAAAGTTTCTTTTATACACTTCATGCAGTACCCAGGATATTTAAGTGGCTTAAGTGCAAAATTAAGAGACTAGCTTTTGTTAATTGTTTTCCAACTTTTAAAAATTACTTTTAGCAAGAAAACTTTTTTTTTTAACGTTTATTTATTATTGAGAGACAGAGCATGAGCATGAGCATGGGAGGGGCAGAGAGATGGAAGACACAGAATCCGAAGCAGGCTCCAGGCTCTGAGCTGTCAGCACAGAGCCCAATGTAGGGCCGGAACCCACAAACCGCAAGATCATGACCTGAGCAGAAGTCGGACGCTTAACCGACTGAGCCACCCAGGCACCCCTAACAAGAAAACTTTTTAAACAATGTTATTACCTGCACTCTCCCAATTGATAAAGTGCAGTTACTTTGAGGGTACTCCTGAGTAAGCTATGGTTTTAAGACCACTTTGGAAACGACTTTGCTTTTAAGTGACATAAACGGTGCAGTGGAAGGATAGACTGCCCTATAATTTGGTTTGACTGGTGCTGTATGCTTAACTAACACATGGTGTCCATATCCAAAACAATAATACCTATTGGGATAGCCTGTGCATGTGTGTGTTGGCAGTAATTTAAAATGATACGTCCACATGGTTTTAATTATGCCCTCTGTGTTTGTGACCTCACTTAGATGCCAATTTAGAAGAGAATTAAGGGTGCCTGGGTGGCTCAATCGGTTAAGCGTCCAGCTTAGCTCAGGTCGGGATCTCAAGGTTGGTGAGTTCCAGCCCCGCATTGGGCTCTGTGCTGACAGCTTGGAGCCTGGAGTCTACCTCAGATTCTGTGTGTGTCTCTCTCTGCCCCTCCCCGGCTCATACTCTGTCTCTCTGTCTCTCTCTCTCTCAAAAATAAACTGTAAAAAAAAAAAAAAAAATTAGAAGGGAATTAATACCACAGCCTGTTCCTCACTGGCACTAAGCTAAAATCGTCCAAATTATCATACTTCATGTCACCAAACCCGAGCTTTAAAATAGCTTGAGAGGACAACAGGGTTACTGGTGGGGTGTTGAGTGAGGGGATGGGCTAAATGGGTGATGGGCATTAAGGAGGGTACTTGTTGGGATGAGCACTGGGTGTTACGTGTAAATGATGAATCACTAAACTCTATTCCTGAAATCATTATTACACTATATGTTAACTAATCTGGATTTAAATAAAAATAAATAATAAATAAATACCTTGAATGACACTGTGTGCTTATAAAACTGGTGGTGAGTGCAATAATGACTAATGTAAATGACTATGAAGAACGTTTATGGGTAGTAGAAATTCAGTTAAGATCAAGCACCTACTCTTGCTCTGTTCAAGGATGAGGATCTTAAGGTGAGCCTGCCCTCCAAGACTTGGGCTCTGACAGTGGCAGGCTAGTATGCAAATGTAGTGCAAGGCAGAATGCGGCCTGTATTAGATTTATGCCTAGGCACAGAGTTCTGACTTGGCGGAATGGTTTCCCAGAGAAGAAATCCCCGTCTGGGGGGCTCCTGGGTGCCTTAGTCGGTTGAGCCTCCGACTTCGGCTCAGGTCATGATCTCCCGGTTTGTGAGTTCGCGCCCAGTGTTGGGCTCCATGCTGACAGCTCAGAGCCTGGAGCCTGCTTCGGATTCTGTGTGTGTCTCTCTCTGCTTCTGTCCCTCCCCCACTCACTCTGTCTCTCCTTGAAAAATAAACATTAAAAAAGAAAGAAAGAAAGAAAGAAAGAAATCACCGTCTGGATTCCTGGGAAACCAGGGCTCTGCA